AAGGAATGGGAGTGAAGATAGATGGCTGGCAACTATACCACCATATATTTCCACCATGGTGGTGGAAAATGGGCAATGGTGGAGGGATGGGTACTTGATCATTGTATAATCGAAACTCAAGCACAAAAATTTGTAAATCTACAACTGTGCCTCATGGTGTTTCACTAATAAAAATTAAAACAAACAAACAAAAAGAGACCTGGGCCCTGTGAAAATAGGATGAGAATGCTATTTGGGTCTCCCAAAGAGGAATGGAAAGAGCTATGCTTGGAGTATCACACTTCACTCGTGAGAGAAAGAATTTGGAGTTCTAACCTCCGCCGATGATTGAGAATCAGGGACGCTGTCTCGTTTGCCAAGGCATCGAAAATCACATGGGCTGGACATGTAATGTGATTTGAAGACGACCGCTGGACTAGTGCCGTGACCAACCGGATTCCACGGGACGTCAAAAGAACGCGTGACCGCCCACCTACGAGATGATCAGACTTCTTCATCAAGACCCTGAACGATTGATTTGAGGCTCTTCTTGTTCCTGGAGCGAGCTGACGCCATTTGGCTACACTAGCACGTGACAGGGACGAATGGAGCCCGCTCAAACAAATAGATGAATAACTGGATGTCAAGTGATCAAGTAAGTGATCAAGTGATGCTGTTCTTTGTCTTATTGACATAACTGTTGAAACTGAAGAACCCAGTGAGCCTAGAGATGTGTATCTTGCTTGTCTTCTGGTGTAGAAAATATATTAGACGTTTATTTCAAACTGTTTACTCAGCTCTAACATGACTAAGTTCATCACTAGAAAGCCCTATCAAGGTTTTGCATAGCCTATTTATCAAGCTCTGATAGATGAAAGGCTTTCTTGTTTCAGCATCTCTCTTTATTCTTCCAGAATAAAATATTGCAACTGATCTTTATGTTATTCCAAGCCTTAGGTTCTCTACTTCATGATACTTCTAAGATCTCATTGGAGACACAAGTGTTCATCAAAGAATTAAGCCTATTTCCCCCACTTCTTATCTATCATCCATAATAAAGTATTTTGAAAAAAAAATGTCTCCAAATAGTCTAGTCTAGATCAATGGCTGGAACTAACCACATGTGTGGGGGGTGGGGGGGCTGAGGGTAGGTAAGATAGAGAAGAGACCAGTATGACAATAATAGCTGGGAATGATCACGCTGGACAAGATCTGAGAGTTAAAAGTAGGTAAGGGATCTTCTTGATAACCTATCAGTATCAATATTGCAAACCACAATGCCCAAAAGGAGAGAGAAGAATAAAAAGAAGTAGTAGTAGAAGAAGAAGAAGAAGAAGAAGAAGAAGAAGAAGAAGAAGAAGAAGAAGAAGAAAAGAAGAAGAAGAAGAAGAAGAAGAAAAGAAGAAGAAGAAGAAGAAGAAGAAGAAGAAGAAGAAGAAGAAGAAGAAGAAGAAGAAGAAGAAGAAGAAGAAGAAGAAGAAGAAGAACAACAACAACAACAACAACAACAACAACAATAACACCTGGCAGGCAGGGGTTGGGGGGTGGGGAGTGATGGGAGGGAACATGGGGACACTGGTGCTGGGAAATGTCCACTGGTGGAGGATGGGTGTTGGAATACTGTATGACTGAAATGCAATCATGAACAGCTTTGTTCACTGAATCACATGGATTCAATTAAAAAGTTAAAAAAATAGTCTAGTCTCTGTTTCAGGATAATATGCACACTTAACTAAAAGGTGTTATGGCCATCCTCTTCTAGGTTTATAATATGTGGCCAAAATAATTTATTAAAAGTGAAAAGTTCCGGGGAATGCCCTGCCACAGAGACAGGGTGGGAAGGGGGGGTGGGGGGTGGGAGGGATACTGGGATCCGTGGTGGTGGGAAGCGGGCACAGGTGGAGGGATGGTATTTGATCGTTGTATAATTGAAACCCAAGCACAAAAATGTGTAAGTCTGCAACTGTACCTCATGATGTCTCACTATTAAAATTTTTTTTAATAAAAAAATAAATAAATAAATTTAAAAAAAGAGTGTGCCATAACAAACTTGGCCAATCATAAATTTAGACTGGATAATTAGAGGATATAATTTTTGACCCAGTGAGATGTGTTTTGAATTCAAAACCAGTAATTTTTTTTATGACTTTTAGGTAAGTTTTTAAATTATTATTATTATTAGTGAAACACCATGTGGTACAGTTGTAGATTTACAATTTTTTGTGCTTGGGTTTCGATTATACAATGATCAAATACCCATCCCTCCACCAGTGCCCATTTTCCACCACCACGGATCCCAGTATCCCTCCCACCCTCCATCCCCCCCCCCATCCCACGCTGCCTCTGTGGCAGGGCATTCCCTTTTGTTCTCTCTCTCCTTTTGGGTGTTGTGTTCTGCAAAAGAGGCATTGAGTGGCAAACATGTTCAGTCCATAGTCTACTTTCGACATGCATCTCCCCTCCTGGGAGGATCCTCCAAACATCCTTTATTTGGTGCTCCCTTCTCTATCTGAGCTGCCCTTTCCCCTAGAATACTTGGCTGGCCTCTAAGCTATGGAGTAATCCTCCTGGTGCTGATCTCAGCTATTCTTGGGTATTAATCTCCTATTTTGTTACTTTATGCCCCCCAGATGAATGCAATCTTTTTATGTCTATCCCTCTCTTTCTGATTCATTTCGCTTAGCATGATACTTTCCATGTGGTACCACTTGTATGTAAAATTCATGACTTCATCTTTTCTAACAGCTACATAGTACTCCATTGTGTAGATGTACCAAAGTTTCTTTAACCAGTCATCTGTTCTTGGGCATTCAGAAAACCAGTTATTTTTGGTAGAAGGTTGAGTTTGTATATTTCAAATGAAATGACACCATGTTAAATTACCTGTTCTAAAATAAAGACCTTCATTCTCTTCGTGAAAAAAAAAGTGAAAAGTTTCCTTTACCAATGGTTTTGCAAGAACAAAAGACTACTAACCAGTAGATAATTTGTAGTTTAAGGGCTCAGTGATTGCACTTGCTCCATTAAGCTGATTTTCCCTCTCAGTTTTATTTTCTACCCTGGGAAGGAATCAAGGGAACAGATGTCTTTAGATTTGTTCTGGTTTGGGAGAGGTACCTCAAGCTTGGTGTAGGTAAAGAACAGTTCAGTGTTTACATTAAAATATCTTTTTCAAGATTTTCAGTGCCGGGGATCAAACCCAGAGCCTCACATATGTCTGACAAATGCTGTATTGCTGAGTCACACCCCATCACCCCCAGCCAACATCTTGTTCTTAAGGTAATGTTTATAGCTCATATCCAAAGTGTCATGGGTGCTCAGAGAGTTATTCATGCTTATAGGTTTTACCCAAGTATTACCATTAAATATCCCTAAGAAGTGACTAAGGGATCTAAAAGGGATAATACAGTTCCTCTAAATATTTTAAGTATAAATATTGTAACTCTAGAAATGACATAACAAAACAAGGTAAGAGACAAGGGGATTAGTGAAGAACCAGTATGTTACCGAAATTTCATGTGTAAACGTTCCAATAATTTGTTTTATTTTTTAAAAATCCAATTGCACAGAACATAGAGAGAAATCACTTTCTCTTCAAAACAAACTATCAAAGAATACATTTATAAATTATAAGAAAGGAAAATTCACATCATTTACTACAATCATTCCCTTTTTTCTCAACTTGGCAGACACGAAAAATGATGCTGAATGAATATACTTTAATTAGGAAAGCTAATCTGGAACAGATAAGACTTAAAAGCATAAGAATGGTCATATGCTATTTTATATATTTTATGTAAAGTGACTGACATTTAAAAAATAAGAATATAGTTTATACCATAGAAACTACAATACCATGGAGTTAACAAGACTTACCGCATTTTTGGAAATTGTTAAAATGGTCTCCCAAGTTTTAATAAGGAAAAATTTTGTTACTGTGTATTGACTAGTTACTGGATTTACTATGATGACCAGTTCACAAAGTATACAAATGTCATTTCATTTTTTTTGTATACTTGAAGCTAATATAGTACATATTAATTATTTCTCAATTAACAAATTAGAGTTGATATGAAATAGAAAACAATTTATTTGCCAATGGCTGCTTCATGAAACCTATTATTGCCAAATTCAACAATTCCAAATTGGTTTCCTTCATTTTTATCCACATAAAATAAAGGGAGAAATCAATCTACTATTATAGGGTGCATAACATTTAAGTTACGTAAGCTATCAAGCAAATGCTCCTTGAGGACTGATTTCGTTTGGAGTTTTTCCTTCCATCAGAGTCAAAAGTGTCTCTAACTGTCTTGGTGGAATATTTAGAAAGGGGGCCAGACCCTCATAATACTTGCAACAACTTTAATAGGCACTTGAAGGGTTAGAGTGGAAATACTTTTAAGAGAAACAAAAAGAAAAAAGTTTTTTAATGTCATCAGCAAATATCAATTCCGTCTTTGTGAGCAGGATTTTATGACCGGGAATACTTGAGGCTGTTTCGAGGGGGGAAGAGGGGAATTAAGCTAAACCAGAGGTAGCAAGTTGACAATCCCTGGGTGAAGTTCCTATTATTTTGCAGGCAAAACTTGCTTCTGCGCTCTAGGGCCTCTGTCTCGGGATGCCTTTCAAGAAAAACCCTTCCCCACCCACGTCGAGGAAAAGAAACCGCACCGAAATACTGAACGACGGTGGTTTAAGTCCTGATGAATAGAGGGAAAACTCCCGTTTTCAAAATACAGCCTTCGAGTCATCCTTTCAAACGTCCCCAAGAAAGAAAGAAAAAGAAAAAACAGGCTCGTCCGTTGGGACTCTGTTCTCTCACTGACTTCCCGTCTGCCAAACAAAACTCTTGCTTGTGGGTGGCGCAGTGCTGCGTTAAAATTCGGGAAACCCGCCAGGATGGGAGAATTCTTCCAACGCAGTCGGCCTGCCACCCTGTGGCCGCTGCAAACACTTCCCCACCCACCCACCCACCCACGCACCCACCCACCACCCCCACCCACCCCCCTTGGCTGGCCAAGACCGCTCAAGAACAGTATCAGCGGCTCAAGGAAAACCCGGCAGAGGTAGACCACAGCATCCCGCGACGCGCGCCTGGAGACACCGGCGCGTGCAACATTGTAGCAAACGTGTAGCAACCGTCTCCTTTCCCTTTTCTTTCCCGCCGCCCCGGGAGCCCCAAGCCAGGCGGGTCGGGCCTCCCTCAGATGCTCACGGGCACCGAGGACACGGAGCTGGCGCGCGACTCCCGGGCCGCGTGGCCGGGCATGGAGAGCGTGGCGCACGACACGCCCACGGTGGCCTCGGGCAGCTCGTCGTCCTCGGTCCACGCGTTGAGCTCGGGCTGGAAGCACTGCGCGCACTTCTTGTACTTCTTCTCGCCCTCGTTCCAGCCGCCCAGCAGGTAGGCGCGGCCCAGCAGCGCTGAGGCGCCCGCCGTGCTCACGCCCACGGGCAGCGGCGCCGCGTGGCTCCACTGGCGGCTGGCCGGGTCGTAGCACTCCACGGACAGCACGTCCACGCGCTCCCCGCGCGGCCCCAGCTGGCTGCCGCCCATCACGTACACGCGGCCGCCCAGCGCCAGCGCGCAGTGCCAGCCCCGCGCCGCGTGCAGGCCGGGCAGCTCCTGCCACGCGTCGCGGGCCGGGTCGTAGGCGCACACGGAGCGCGAGTACGCGCCGCCCACGTAGCCGCCCGTCACCAGCACGCGCCCGTCGGCCACGGCGCTCGCGTGGCAGCAGCGCGCCGCCTCCAGGCCGGCCTTGGGCAGCCACTGGTTGGCCGAGGGCACGTAGCACTCCAGCGATGCCAGGCTGCCCTCGGCGTTGCGGCCGCCCACGGCGTACAGCAGCCCGTCGAACACGCTCAGGCTGAAGTGCGTGCGCTTCTGCGTCATGCTGGCCAGGTGGATCCACGTGTTGAAGCGGGGGTCGTACCTGCGAACGGCAGAGAGACGGGGGTCCCGCGTGAGTGGCACCCCCCCGACCCCCGGGCGCGCCTGTGGCCAGGAATCGCTGGTGTTTTACGTGCGCGTGTGCGTGGGCGTGTGCCCTTGTCCTTCGCCTCCCCACCCTCCCAACCTGTATAAACCTTATCTATCCAACCGGGCTGGAGTGACAGCACCGCGGGGAGGGCGTTTGCCTGGCATGAGGCCCACCCGGGCTCCATCCCTAGCATCCCATAGGGTCCCCTGAGCACCGCCAGGAGTGATCCCTGAGTGCACGTGTGAGCCAGGAGGAACCCCTGAGCATCACTGGGTGTGACGCAAAAAACAAAGACCCAACGTATCACCCCACTGGAGTTCTCTGTCATTCAGCATAGTTGGATGAGCAAAACTTAAAAGAGTTGATGAATCGAGGCTGGAGCGATAGCACCGCGGGGAGGGCGTTTGCCTGGCAGGAGGCCCACCGGGGCTCCATCTCCAGCATCCCAAAGGGTCCCCTGAGCACCGCCAGGAGTGATCCCTGAGTGCACGTGTGAGCCAAGAGGAACCCCTGAGCATCCCCGGGTGGGACCCAAAAAGCAGAAAACAAAAACCCAACTTATCACCCCACTGGAGGGATCAGCTCCACAGTGAGTTCTCTGTCATTTAGCAGAATTGATGAGCAAAACTTAAGAGTTGATGGGGGCTGGAGAGATAGCACAGCGGGCAGGGCGTCTGCCTTGCACGCGGCCGACCTGGGTTCGATTCCCAGCATCCCATATGGTCCCCTGAGCACCGCCAGGAGTAACTCCTGAGTGCAGAGCCAGGAGTAACCCCTGTGCATCGCCAGGTGTGACCCCCCCCCAAAAAAAAGCAAAAAAAAAAGAGGGGAATGCCCTGCCACAGAGACAGGGTGGGCTGGGGGCATGGGGGGTGGGAGGGGAAAAAAAAAAGAGTTGATGAACTGGGGCTGGAGGATAGCACCGCGGGGAGGGCGTTTGCAAGGCACGAGGCCCACCCGGGCGCCATCCCCAGCATCCCATAGGGTACCCCAAGCACCGCCAGGAGTGATCCCTGAGTGCATGCGTGAGCCTGAGCATCCCCGGGTGTGACCCAAAAAGCAAAAAACAAAAACCCAACTTATCACCTCACTGGAGTTCTCTGTCATTCAGCTTAGTTGATGAGCAAAACTTTTAAGAGTTGATGAACTAAAAAAGTGGAGGGAGGGGCGGGAAGCTGAGTGATTGGGGCCACCACTAAAGGGAACACCACATTCAGGTCAGCTTTTATGTCTTTCTCAGATATCAACAATCCCAGGCTCACATCCACGGCAGAAGGACAGAAGGACTTAACTGATTGGCTCTCTCCATTTCTTCAAACCCTATTCCTCATTCCTTTCTCCAGGGCCATTGCATTAGTAAAGGAGACTCACTCGTGCAAGTCTTGGAAATGGAAATCAAGTCCCAAAGCGTCACAGAGCCTTGATTTGGGATATGTTGCTATTTTCTAGCATTTGCAAGTACTCAAGATTTTTCCGTAGGGGATCCTCACTCTCTCCCTCCACCCCCCCCACCCCTGCACGCAGTGTTCAATATCGGTTATTATGTTATAAGCACTGAAATCAATATTGCAGAGATGGTGCGTTTCCAACATGTGGAAAATAGTACGTAGTTGTAAAAGCAGACCTTGATCCTTTGAGTTCATCTTCACTTCTGTCTTACTTAACCAAAATTTCATTACAGTTATGGTAAAGACTAAAAAGCAGGTATTTGTTTGCAATCTTTTAAGTGGCGTACATAAATATAATGAAATAATAAAGAATTTTTCCCATTCCATACTGTAAACATTCTTGTATCATTTTTTAGTTTCTGTAGCATGATCATGATACAAGAATAAGTTTATAATGTCCAACAATAAAATGACATTTGAATTGCGTTTCTGAAGTACTTACTATGCTTTACTCTATATTTATTTTTATTTATTTATTTAATTAATTTATTTATTATGGGTTTGGGACCACCCTCGGTGATGCTCAGGGTTATTCCTGACTCCTTCACTCAAGAATCACTCCTGGTGATACTCAGAGGACCATGTGCGATGTCAGGGATCGAACCTGGGTCGGTCGCCCATGTGCATGGTAAGCACCCTACTCACTGTGCTATTTCTGTGGCCCTCAGTTTCCACTCTTCAGTGCATCAGAATATCAACAATTTTATGTTTCAGTTTCAAATAAATACCTAGTGCTATATATATATATATTTCTGAAAACTATGAATTTGACCATCATCAGTAACAATCATTTAAGATAAATTCTGTATTTTATTTTGGTTTATGGGTCACACTTGGCTGTGCCCTGGCTCTGCATTCTGGCATCATTCCTGACAGGGCTTGGGGGACCATTTGTGGTGCCAGAAATTGAACCTGGCTTAGCAGCCTGCAAGGCAAGTACCTTACCTGCAGTACTATCTCTCCAGACCCCAAATTTGTATTTTTAATTTTTTTCTTAGCACCTGATATTAATCATCAATTTTTTACCTATGATCTTCAGAAAGATAGTGTGCTGTGAAAGGAACCTGAGTATAAAAAAATGAAAAATGTTACTTATAAAGTAGTGGTATAATTTCTCTGGGGATCAGAATCCTCACATGCGAAAATCAGAATAATACTATTCCCCTCACTCGCTTCGCAAGCTTGATTTGGGAACCGAGAATGCATAATATGTATGAATAGATTACATAATTTAAAATGTATAGGTACATAAATATATATATATATGGTGGCATTATTATTAGCAATTTTCTGAGACGTTAAAACTACGAGTATGGCTACCAGGGAAATTTCTTTATAATATCGTACCATTTCAGTTTCTAACAAAAGGATCAAATACCTGCAGAAATTGTTGACTGCGTGCTTGGCTTGATTTCTTGCGTCATTCTGATCTTCTCCACCAGCCACGTAAAGAAATCCGTCCATTACAGCCACACACTGATTAAAACTCTTGGATGGCATTTCCGTAAGCTTGCTCCATCCATTTTCAGGATCTTTATACAAAACGTCTCGACTAAGGGACTTCTCAGTAAGCCCAGGGCGGCCCCCAACAGTGACAAGGACGCGACAGGCCCCGCGGATTCTTGTACGTCTAGACTGCAATGTGTTTTGATGATATGGAAGTAAATGGTAGTTCATAGCATCGACAAGAAGTTTGTGACACTCGGCGTCTTGCATCATTCTTGGAACAGACTGGACATAGTTGACCAGGTCTTGTGCAGAGATGGTACCGAAGCGAATATTGCTCAGGAGATCTGCAGCATGCTTCAATCTCTTTTGGTCAAATTCCAGCCATTTCATTGCAATCTGGAATGCTACTATTTCAGAAGGCAACTGCAAGTCATCATCTATAAGAAGTTCATTAATTTGCTCAAATGTCAGTTTCATGAACTTATCCGATTCTGAGAACTCAAGGAAGTTATCCCGGATAAATTTCTGGGCTGCTGCTTTTGCGTTTCTTAGAGAGTATGTTTCAGCAATGTTGGCAATATACATGCAGTTCTCAATACTCATTTCTCGTATCAGAAAGTCGCTGCACATCTTTACAAGAGTGTGAATCTGAAGATAAACCGCAGTGGAAATAATGCTTCCTATTGTATACAAGGAGAGAGTCAGTTTTCCTGTGTAGGCATATGCAATGACAGTAGCAAGGCCCAGCGGTGAGATATCATTGAGGTCTATCCTTTGAGTAGATGGGTCTTTTTTTAGGATGTCGTAAAAGTACTCACTGCATGAAGCCATCACCGACTTGTGAACATCGAAGGATTTGGTTTTGGTGCCAATGACTAAGTCACAAAGGAAGTTCTCCTGCCGCATTTTACTTAACCCTTCCAAGAGGTTGGGGCAGTAAGAAGCGTCTGTTAACTCAGACGAAATGCAGCTCAGACCATTGCCTCCCTCAAGAAGTCCATTCAAAGCATTTAGTTTGCTTAGGGGGCTGTCTTCTACAATTATCGTCGTCTCATTGATCTCTCCCTTGTTCTTTTTGACAGTCTTCTTTTTGGGGGCCATGTTGGAAAACACAGTCACAGGCAAGAGCTTGCTAAAAAAAAAAAAAAAAAACGAAAACATAGTGTTTTTGTTAACTTTGGGCTTTGAAATGTTACATTGAAGATATTTTATTTTTCATGAGATAATAAACTTTCTTTTTTTTTTTTTTTTTGCTTTTTGGGTCACACCCGACGATGCTCAGGGGTTACTCCTGGCTCATGCTCTCAGAAATTACTCCTGGTGGTGCTCGGGGGACCATATGGGCTGCTGGAAATCGAACCAGGGTTGGCTATGTTGGCTGCGTGCAAGGCAAACGCCCTACCCGCTGTGCTATCGCTCCAGCCCCCGAGATAATAAACTTTTTAATGGAAAAGATAGATTAACCCTCATAAAAAGACTTACATTGAACTAAATGCTCATTTTATGGACAGATCATTTCATCATCAAGTATAAATTCTGGAGACCTTTATATTTTCAGGGTCTAAGAGATTTTACATGGGTTAGTACACATGTCAGGCAAGTCCCCGGTCCTTGTTTATTTCCTTGTTTATTTCTCATCGCTCCCCGAGCATCACTAAGTGTGGCCCTGACACCTCCAAGCACTGCGGAGTCCAATCAGCACCACAGCCATGGGCTATAGCTTTCAGTCACCAAGGCTGTGGGCTGAGAATCACTGAAAGTGGCTCCCAGTGGCCTGAGAGCTGCTCAAGCAGCCCCCCACCCCCCACTCCCTGCAGATGTCACTGTCACTGTCCTCCCGTTGTTCATCGATTTGCTCTAGTGGGCCCAGTAACGTCTCCATTTTGAGACTTGTTGTTACTGTGTTTGGCATATTGAATACGTCACGGGGAGCTTGCCAGGCTTTGCCGTGTGGGTGAGATACTCTCCATAGCTTGCCTGGCTCTCCTAGAGGGGCAGAGGAATCGAACCCGGCTAAGCCAGGCCAGTCACATGCAAGGCAAACACCCTACCGCTGTGCTATCGCTCCCTGCAGATTTATATTATCAATTAAGACTGATCAACATAGCTGTGTTTCCAAGAAAGCTTTTACAAAAGAACCAACCATGGGCAATGTTGGTGGTCTAATGGTGAGCATTAACTCCCTTCCAGTTATAATCAAATAGGCTCTGATCTGGCTATAGGCTAATTCTAGAATAGCTGTCAAATATCACTTTGAAAGGTTTAGATTTATTAATCTCTTTTTTTTTTTTTTTGCTTTTTGGGTCATACCTGGTGATGCACAGGGGCTACTCCTGACTCTGCACTCAGGAATTACTCCTGGCAGTGCTCAGGGGACCATACGGGATGCTGGGAATTGAACCCGGGTCGGCCACGTGAAAGGCAAACTCCCTACCCACTGTACTATCACTCCAGCCCCTGAAAGGCTTAGGGGTTTTTTGCTTTGTTTTTAAATTAATTAATTAATTAATTAATTTTTGCTTTTTGGGCTGGAGCGATTGCACAGCAGTAGGGCGTTTGCCTTGCACGCAGCCAACATGGCCGACCCGAGTTCGATTCCTCCGCCCCTCTCGGAGAGCCCGGCAAGCTACCGAGAGTATCTCGCCCACTCGGCAGAGCCTGGCAAGCTCCCCGTGATGTATTCGATATGCCAAACACAGTAACAACAAAATCTCCAATGGAGACGTTACTGGGCCTGCTTGAGCAAATCGATGAACAACGGGAGGGCCTTTACCTTTACCTTTTTGGGTCACACCCAGCAATGCAGAGGGGTTACTCATGGCTTTGCACTCAGGAATTATTCCTGGCAGTGCTCAAGGGACCATATGGGATGCTGGGAATTGAACGCAGGTCGGATGCGTGCAAGACAAGCGCCCTACCTGCTGTATTATTGCTTCAGCCCCTGAAAGGCTTAGTTTTATCTCCTAGGAAGTGAGTTGTAACAACTCTGAAATTTTTTCCTCAATAAAATATAAAATTCTGGGCTCTGTGTAAAATGCATACTATGAATATCAATGTCTGTCGTGTTATGTACATGTAGAAATCAATGGGTAGGGCCATGGAGATTATGAAAGGGTGTAGGTGCTTGCCATATATGCAACCTACCAGGGTTCCATCACTGGCACTGTTTATGGTCCTCCAAATACCACCAGGAGTAAGTACTGAGACCTGCCAGGTGTGACCCCAGACAAACAAACAAAATCAAATGGGTAAAATAAGGGGAAGGGGAAAGGAGGTGCATGTCAAATAAACTGTATATTTGCACACTCGTTTGTGAACCTGTACAACTGAGACCTCTATATTAAAATCTTCTAGGCTACAGAAATGTTCATTGCCCCCCGTATCTTGGCAAATGTTTTTACACTGACTCTGCTTCTCCGTTTCCCATCAGCCCAGCTTGGGGACCATATTATTGCTTTTCTTAAAGACTAGAGGCCCCTAGGAATGATAAGGGCAGAGGCTGAAGAGATAGTACAGGAATCAAGGCACTAGTTTTTCTTATTTTTTTTTCTTTTTGGGTCACACCTGGTGATGCTCAGGGGTTACTCCTGGCTTTGCACTCAGGAATCACTCCTGGCGGTGCTGAGGGACCATATGGGATGCTGGAAATCGAACCCGGGTCAGCCACGTGCAAGGCAAATGTCCTACCCACTGTGGTATTGCTCCAGCCCCAAGGCACTAGTTTTGCATGTGGTCAGCCCTGATTCAAATCCTTGGTATTATATATGGTCCCTTGAGCACGGATCACAGAGTCAGATTTGTCCCTGAGGAACACCAGGTATGGTGCAATGCCTTCCACTCAACAAGCATCCTGTGTCCTAAGCCGTACTGCAGAGAAGACTGACTTCCTAATTATGGGGGCACAAAAACTCAGAGGTTCTATTTTGTTGTTGTTCAGGTGTTTTTTTTTTTTTTGGTGGAGGTGGAGGACTGACCCCCACCTGCTGGTGCTCAGGGGCCACACCTGGTTCTGTGCTCAGAAAAATCTGTGGTTCCAAAATTCACATCCACGGTGTGACCTCAGCTGCATGCTGGGTCTTAACCTTTGAAATTCTGAGGCTCTGTTCTTACCAAGGAAGAGAGGGAGGCCTGCAAAACAGAAGCTTTGGATCCTTGGTACTGAGAGTTTTCTGGGGAGCACAAAGGCATGTCATACTGGGGATGCATGCGTGTGTTTGCATGTACACACACACACACACACACACACTCGCTCACATATGCCGTTCTACCAATATGCCATTTTACTAATCAGCACTCAGTTTCCCAGCTGAGTTCTTTTCATTGTTATTGATTTTTTATGGATTTGGAATCCTTTATTGGATGTTTTAAATTCTATATCATGATTTTTTTTTTATCTTGGTAAATTTTTCTGCATTTTCTTTTCCAATACTTAGACTTATTTTTATTTCCTTAAACCTGAGTTTTAGAGCCATATTAAATATTAGTAGGGAAAAAAACAAAATAAAAAGGGGCGTAACCCAAGTAGCACATGTATGCTAGGAAATGGGGGACACTTGCTTTTATTTCCATTCACTGATTTGGTCATGGCGTTGGACCTGGGTTGACTGTGTGAACTACCTGAAGGAGATTAGAGGGGGAATTAAACATTTACAAAGATGAATTTGAGAAATCACTCACTATGCCCCCTGGGTCTTGCTGGAAATGATCACCAACGGCGGCCACAATGGTGATCTAAAAAAAGGTGTACACTTGTGTATATCCACTCACCAATAATCCAGATTGTAGCCTAGGTGGTAAATGGTGCATTTTGAAGGACTCCATTTTAATTGATTTAATTCTGCACTAGCCGAAGGTAGATAAGTGGTTTTTTTCCCCTCTTTTTTACAGTTCAAAACACAGTAACAACAAAGTCTCCAATGGAGATGTTACTGGGCCCGCTCAAGCAAATCGATGAACAATGGGAGGGCTGTATACACTGAAATACAGTTAAAAGGAGCTTTATGTCAATATGTTCAGTAAGCCTTTTTTAATTTGAGGAACTACATTTGAAACATTCAGACAGGAATACATTTTTTCTTTAAATATTCACAAAAGTCTTAATTTTTCAAGAGACAATATGAGAAATTAAATTATTGACTAATAGAATGTAGCTTGACAGCCCAACTAACTGTGTGTCATCTACATAGTATTCTCAAGGCAATGCGGAATGTAAATTGGATCATTGACCCAAAATAAAAGAAACATTCAGTTTGAGCCCTGTGCATTGGTTTATGTCAGATCACTGCGAACTTACAAGAATCCATGTCAGTCACGTATTCCCAATGTTGTAGCACTTATATAGATGCTATGTAAATTCAAACTAAAGTCAGGGAAAAAATAGAAAACGAAAATATTACCATCACTTTACGTCACATTATTTGATCTATTCTGATGCAATACTTATTTTTGTCAACTATTATTCTTGTCAATGACCGTGCAAGACACAGCGATTAGCTAGACCTTTTTTAGCAATTTATAACTTTGCATAGAATCATAAGCTTGAGATTTATAACTAACGATTCTTTTTAAAAAAAAATATGGAACGCTTCATGAATTTGCGTGTCATCCTTGCGCAGGGGCCATGCTAATCTTCTCTGTATCGTTCCAATTTTAGTACATGTGCTGCCGAAGCGAGCACGGTAGATAAGGGATTTAATTAACTGCTGCTTTATTGAAAGTCCACCTTCCTTTCTTTTCTTTTAAAAATAAAGCACCGAGTGCTCTGTTGCCAACTGCTCAGGGACTCCCAAGCCAGGTAGCTGAGGCAGTCACCATGGTTATCATACCGGAGGGATGGTTTTCCTGGGAATGGATGGGAGTGTCTTCTAGCTGTGCCATGGGAGGGTGTCTATACCCTTCTCTACTCTTCCTCAAGCACAACAAGCTGCGTTTCATTCCCCACCCAGGAGGCCTAATGAATTGCCCTCTTGGGGTCAAAGAGAGGGAAAACGTTGCAGGCTTCCGCTGGCACTGTTGGTGGCTCGCAGCGTTGACGTGGTCCTTCCCATGGCAAGACACCCTGGAAGGGGGAGCAGGTGTCCCCGAAGCAGCTGAGGTTGCGTAATGAGATGATGAGCAGTTATTTGGAGGCACTCGCTCCCTTCCAGTCACTTCCCTTTTTGGAGGAAAGAAACTGTGAAGGTGCAGAGGGCAGTGAAAGGCAACCTTCCCTGTGCGGTCGGACTTCTCCCTTTATCTGTCCAGAAAGCCCACAGGAACTTCCTCCATTTTACAAAGGATGTTGACTTAAAAAAATTTATTTTTGGTAGGGGTGGGGGGTGGGCACACCTGGCAGTGCTCAGGGCTTATTTCTGGCTCTGTGTTCAGGGATCGTTCCTGGCAGGGTCCCTGTGGCCATAGGTGGTACCATATCCACGGTACTATCTCTTTGGCTCCAGAAATTTCCTTTAGTCATGAACAACTCTCTCTCTCTCTCTCTCTCTCTCTCTCTCTCTCTCTCTCTCTCTCTCTCTCTCCTGTCAATCAGAACAGCCTTTTGGGATCCCCAGAAGAACTCCCTATTAGAAGCTGGGGAGGAGGGAAACAGAGATACCAGAGATACTACCCCATGTTCTCTTCCTTCCCTGATTGCAGATAGTGGCTCTTGGGTCATTTCTACGATGATATTTCATGAACCCAATACCCAATCCACATCTGGACAGTTATGTGAATCCTTACATAATCTGGATCCTTACATAATGTGGGCCCTTTCCACCAACTGCTGCATTTACCAATTTAAGTGAATTGCATGAATAATCAAATCACGACTATAAATGACCCAGCATGGTTCACCTTATGTATTAAATGTAACCTGTGACCTCCATTCCTAGCCAAAAGAATAAATAACTGGCTATCTCATTATTAGTTGAGGGTTTTCTATGTTCTAAGCTCTGGGTTAAGTTCTGGGTTAACGTCCCACTCAATTTAAGCATTCCTAAAATTCTGAACGGTGGTGTATATTATGCTCATTTTACAAGGGCAGTCCTTAAAGTCTAGAAAAAAAATTTAAAATCTGACTAAGGTCACACACATATGTAAAGTATGGCAGAACAAAATCAACCCCGACCCCTATATTCCTTACATACATCCAAGGTAGGTTCAAGTGATTGTCTCTATCATTAGAAAGAGACTGAGCAGAGTGGGACTGAGGTTTATAACAGCAAACATGGGTAAGGAGTACATGAAACGGTTTTCTATAGCTTTGCGCACTAAAATAGAAGAGTTGTTCTTTTGGATGTAAAATAACTCTGTTTGGGAAGAGACAGCCTACGGATTCTGTTATCCTACGGGGAACAAAACCGATTATTAGGAAACGGAAAGAGTCAGGGAAGCCTTTACTGAGTTGATTTGTCAGAGAACCAAGTGGACTCCCGTAATGTGTTCAATGTGAAAAAAATCACGTTTTGTTTAAAAACAATCATCATCATCCATGTTATTGCTTCAATTTAGCACAGGCCAGGCTTTTATCGATAAAGTATTCAGACTCTATGCACGAAGCTAATTATTGTTCAACCTGGACAGACGGTGCCAGGACCCAAAGGTAAAGCTTTTGGATTGGGTTTGGATGAATATTTTGTAATATAACTCTTTCTCTTTCCTCATCAGGTATGTGTATGTGTGTGTGTGTGTGTGTGTGTGTGTGTGTGTGTGTGGGTGTGGGTGTGGGTGTGTGTGTGCATCCAATGTGTGCATGCATGTGTGTGTGTGTGTGTGTGCATCCAATGTGTGCATGCATGCATGTGTGTGTGAGAGAGAGAGAGAAAGAGAGAGAGAGAGAGAGAGAGAGAGAGGAAAGGAGGGAGAAAGAGAGAGAAAGGATTGCAAGATTGCAAGGTGGAATGGTAGAAATGTAGTTTTTAAGGCCAATGTCTCTGGTTGCCACAGAACAGAAAAAAATGAGCTTTGGTGTTCATTGTACTCTGATCATCTGAGAGATCTGTGGCAAAACATCCAACATTTCATTATTTTATTTGATTGTTTTGGGGGCCACACTTGGCTGTGCCTAAGTCTTATTCCTGACTCTGTGCTTAGGGCTCACTCCTGGGGGGCCAAATTGTGGTCCTGGAGCTTGGGCCCGGTTGACTGTGTGTGAGGACAACACCCTACCACTGTACTATCTCTCCAGCTTCGATAGACAGTCTTTGAACATCTCACTGTAACCAACTGTCGAATTAGGAGATTAGGGCTTTACAGTGCCACAATTTTAGAGTTAAGAGTGAGAATCCTGCTTTTACTGTCCCAAAGGCCAGTCTGGTCCTCTATCACCTCTGTCCTCAGTGTGACCTTGCACAACTCTAGAAGCAACGCATTATTAGTTATGGAAAAACCAACCAAGACAAAGAATTTTCTACCCAGAGGCATGATGGCCCTCTGGGCCTTTGTCACTGAACTAAGGTAAAGGTAAAGGCCCTCCCGTTGATCGTCGATTTGCTCGAGCGGGCCCAGTAACGTCTCCTTTGGAGACTTTGTTGTTACTGTGTCTGGCATATCGAGTACTCTCGGTAGCTTGCCGTGCTCTCCGAGAGGGGCGGAGGAATCGAACTCGGGTCGGCCATGTTGGCCGCTTGTAAGGCGAACGCCCTACCGCTATGCTATCACTCCAGCCTAGCTAATGAAAATACAAGATATCCAGTTAAGCTTGAAATTCAGATAGGTAAATTACAAATCATGTTTTATTTTTTTCCACAAGAATTTTTAAAACGTTTTAAATTGAGATACATGACTTAAAATCATATTTTAATATAGTATGTTCTGTGTGATAATATTTGAGGCAACGTACACTAAAAATTGGATTTTAATCTCCCTGAAACTCGAATGTATCTGGGTGCCCCGCTCTGGTTTCATTTCAGGTTACGTCCCTGAATTCCATGATTTTTTTTTTTTTTGGAGTATTCCGAGATTGCACAGCGGTAGGGCGTTTGCCTTGCGTAAACAGCCAGCCCAGCTGAGTCGGGTTCGATTCCTCCACCCCTCTTGGAGAGCCCGACAAGCTACTGAGAGTATCTTAGCCGCATGGCAGAGCCTGGCAAGCTACCCGTGATGTATTCAATATGCCAAACACAGTAACAAGAAGTCTCACAGTGGAGACGCTACTGGGCCCGCTCGAGCAAATTGATGAACAGCGGGAGGACAGTGACAGTGATTATGAGATACATCATGCTTATCTAATTTTCTAAGAAGGTGAAATTCTCAAAAAGGGTTCATAACTCAAGATAGATCCAGAGCCTCTGGCCTGAGAACAAGGTTGTCAAGACAAAGGTACCATCATTCTACACACATGCTACATAGTTCTATGGATGGGCACATTTCTGAGAAATCATCTCACTTAAATCAAGTTTCTCTTGGCCTGAAACATGTCTCAGAGGAAAAGCTGAGATGATAGGAAAGAATTGTCACCTTTGTATGGAAGAACCTTCTTGCTGTCCTGTTTTCCTGTCCCTCTCTCCCCGCTTCTCCTGGGAGGGACTCTACACCAGGAGCTGAAAAGCCATGTGTGCTGAGGTGTCAGTCACCCCCATGCCAGAATGAGCTGGGATCCCTGAGTGTCTTCTTGCCAAAGGGGCAGATCAGCTGCTCCTGCTCCTGTCCTGACACATTCCAGGCGCTGCATCTGTCCCCGCTCATCAGTACCAAGCCCGGAATAGAAACACTCCAGTCTGTGCCGCTTGCCATTTTAAGTGAAGTCCAGTTTAAGGGGAGGGGACTGGGGGGGGGGGGTGTTTCCACTTCACCTTTTTATTTCCAGCAATATAAAACCTATGTCAGGACACATAGAAGTCCGGATTTAGAGCCGGGCTGTGTTTCACACGGTTTGAGATTTGTTCTGTTGCCGGCGAAATTTCAATTTTGATGGTTAGCACTTCTATTTCTGATCATTCAATGGGTAAATTTTTTTTTGGGGGGTGGGTGGGACCCCACCCCTCGGAAGCTTATCAAGGGCTAAGTGTTCACCTGCTTCCTGATGAAAATCAAGATGCCATTCGAAACTTTGCAAATCAAAGCGAAGAATTTCATGCGTTCCCTCCCTTCTCTAGAAGAAGCAAAGCTTCAGAGACTGAGGGTTGCTTTTTGGAAAGGACAAACGTTCTTGCTTTTTGGAAAGCAGCCCTCTCCTGCGTTTCCAAGTCACCCTCCCAGTCTAGCTCTCTTCCTCTCATTTCCGGAAAACGCTTTCTGGTCCTCAGCCTCAGTGGAGGGTCCTGAGCGATCTGACTCCCAGCCCCCGGGGAGCACCCCCTGAGTCTCTCCCAGCCCTGACACCCCGCTTGCACCCCAGAAGGTAGAAGGCAGGAATGGTCCAACCTGGCCCAGAACTCCTTACCCTCCTGTGTGGAGCGGCCTCCCAGCCTTGTGCTGGTGAAGTTGTTGCAGCCGATTCCTTGAGGGAAGCAATCTAAGAGAGAAAGAGAGGGAGAGGGGGAATCCCGCAGGCGAGCACCAGTGGACACCTGCAGAGTCAGAGCAAAAGGCGCTTCCTAGCGAGTCTTTTCAGTCCCTCCGGATAAGGCAGCGGGGCTGGGCTCCGGCAAGAGGCTCCTCTCCCAGTTTTGGTCTTCAACTCCAGGGCACTTGGGGGCAGGGGCGGGGCTCCGGGTGGGGGAGAGGGATTGGGTTTCTGGACCTGCTCAGAGAGAGAGAGAGAGAGAGAGAGAGAGAGAGAGAGAGAGAGAGAGAGAGAAAGAAAAAGTGCAGCCCTTGTCAAATTGGGTGTGAGCAAAGGCAATTAATTTAGAGGGTATTTAATTATTAGAAGCAGGGATTAGAGCGCATGGCCTTGGTGAGGAGGAGGAAAGACAAGAGGAGCTCGTGGAAGGGTAAATAGCCCGGCTGCCATGGGTCCTTGGAGATGGTTGAGTTTATAAATAGACTGTTCTTTAGCAGAGCAACACATGCTGAGGAGGAAGAGGTGTTTTCTCTGGGAACTTCACCGAGGACACCGACCTTAACAGTTAGAGCTCACTAGACTGAAATTCCTGCTGGATCCCTGGGTCTTCCCTGGGCTCCAGGAAGATGTAAGCTGAACACCTGCGGGTTGGGAAAAATATCCATTCTGGTAGGATGTCATCTTAAAAAAATGTCACTCAATGCCTCTTTTGCAAACCGCAACACCCAAAAGGAGAGAGAGAACAAAAGGGAATGCCCTGCCACAGAGGCAGGGTGGGATGGGGGAGATGGGGGGTGGGAGGGATACTGGGATCAGTGGGGGTGGAGAATGGGCACTGGTGGAGGGATGGGTACCTGATCATTGTATAATTGAAACCCAAGCACAAAAATTTGTAAGTCTATAAAAAAAAAGTTGATACAAAATTCAAATCCTAAATAAATCATTTCCTCTTCTGAAAAAAAAATATCAGAGCATTCTGATGAACCAGAAATTTTTAATAGATACTGAGAATGTCAAGTGGAGGCTAAAAAGGCTGACCTGATATGAGGGTGCACTATAGAAAAATCAACTGTGGAAAGTAAATATTCTAGTCACTTACTAGTCATCTGATGTGGGGAGCACTGTTTGCACTCTGATAATTGAGCAATTAAATTATTCTGCATCCCGAAGAAGATTGGAAACTTAGCTGATTGAGAACTTTAGCTGTTGTAATTACCCTATCAGAGCCCTCTGAGAACAAGCAGATCTGAGAGACCCCCATAATGGAAATGGTTGGGGGTTGTTATACAGAGAAAGAATTTGGTTATAATTTATTTATTTGTTTATTTATTTTGCATAAGGTGTCAAAAAGCAGGTTATGTGGATGGAAATTTCAGAGAAATAAATTAAAAATAAGGAAGAAAAACCGATAAGACCTGGGACCTGATGATAAAAATAGACTCAGTGATGAAACGGAGTCAGTTTCCTATGCTTCAGAAGATCTAGCTAAAAGCAACTTGGGGTTGGGGGTGGGGCGGCTGGGAAGATGGTACAGCAGGAAGGGTGCTTGCCTTGCTTAGGGTCAGTCTGGGTTGGATCCCTGGCACCCAGATCGTCTTCTGAGCCTACTAGGAGTGAGCCCTGAATGCAGAGTCAGGAGGAAGCCCTGAGCACAGTGGGTGTGGCCTTCAAACCAAAATAAATAAATAAGTAAATAAAGTTCTGGAACTGCGTGTTATAGAAGGAATCGTCACTCTGCCTGACCACCTGCACCGGATCTTCTCTGACCTTATGGCGACTCTATGATTCTACTTGTATTGGCTTTAATTTTCCTGACCCCTTTCAACCCAGTGGCTATCATCTCAATTGCCATTTTCCTGCCCTCTCTTCTAAAACGTTGAAGTTATCATTGACGTATAAAATTGTATTCATTTCAGAGGTTCTAAAAATGATTCAGGGGCTGGAGCGATAGCACAGCGGGTAGGGCGTTTGCCTTGCACGCGGCCAACCCAGGTTCGATTCCCAGCATCCCATATGGTTTCCTGAGCACCGTCATGGGTAATTCCTGAGCACAGAGCCAGAAGTGGCCCCTGTGCATCGCCAGGTGTGACCAAAAAAAAAAAAAGTAAAAAAAAAGTAAAAATGATTCAATATTCATGTATCATGAAATGGTTACCACAAGTCTCATTCATATTAGTCCCCATACATTTGTTACTCAACCCTTTGTACCCCGGGTGGGACTTGAACCCACAATCCCTGGCTTAGGAGGCCAATGCCTTATCCATTAGGCCACCGGGGCGAGCCCGGCAAGCTACCGAGAGTATTGGATATGCCAAACACAGTAACAACAAAGTCTCCAATGGAGACGTTACTGGGCCCGCTCGAGCAAATCGACGATCAACGGGAGGGCCTTTACCTTTACCTTTACCTTTACCTTTTAACATTTGTTACAAAACATGTTTTATTTCTTGCGATGAGGACTTTTAGGTTACCACTTCTATTTTATTTCCAACCTGACTTTTTGTAGGAGAAAGGAATTTGATTAGAAACAAATAATTTGCTCTCATTTCAGATCACCAGCCCAGACCGTGCTCGAAGTATATTCAAGTTCTTTACTCTATGCTTTGCATATAGATAACAGAGGAACATTCCAAGTGATCCTTCTTAATTCCACTTCCTTGTCTCCAGTAATGGGAGCATTCAACTGAAATCTCAGTGTGTTCAGATCAGTCTTTCGTGAGTATTTATAAAGAGGACAAGAGTCCTCAAGAAGTAGCTGTTGGAACCAGCTTAGTGCTGTCTTCAAGTCCACTTCAATTCTACTAGAATAGTGATGAGCTACTTCTTCAGTAACTTATCATTTGAAGTAAAAGTATGAAAAGAAAGAGTAACTGTCCTAATGGAAAATCTGATATCTCAACGAAAATAGCATGTACAGAGTCGCTACCTTATTTCAGTATTCAACTATTTCTATGGAGGATGTGCTGAAAATAATAGAGGGAAGGGGATAGCACGTGGGTGGAAAAGGAGCTTGGAGAGTAGGTTGTATTGTATATTAAGGAATTTAGCCTGTAACCTGCAAGCAATTGGGGTGCACACATTAGATTTTATTTTATTATTTCTTATCTTTTTATTTTGGGGTCATATCCAGGGGTACTCAGGACTTCCTCCTGACTCTGTGGTAAGGAATCAGTCCTGGAGACATGGGCAGAACTGGGGTCAGCCATCTGCAAAAAAAATGAAAATACCTTCACTTGTGGGCTGGAGTGATAGCACAGCGGGTAGGGCATTTGCCTTGCATGTGGCCAATCTGGGTTCGATTCCTCCGTCCCTCTTAGAGAGCCCGGCAAGCTATGGAGAGTATCCCGCCCCCACGGCAAAGCCTGGCAAGCTCCCTGTGGCACATTCCATATGCCAAAAACAGTAACAAGTCTCACAATGTTACTGGTGCCCGCTCGAGCAAATCAAACAATGGGAGGACAGTGCTACAGTGCTACCTTCACTTGTATAAAATCTCTCTGGTCTCTGAATTTTATTTTTTAAACAGGCATACCATGATGAAAGCTGTAATTTAGAAGAAAGCCTTGTTCTTAGGGAGTACAGAAAGAAGAATTTAGAGTTCTTGAAAGAGACTGACCTTAAAAATATGAAGTAACTTATTTGCAGATTGGAATAGACGTCCTTGGTGGGCTGCTCTGAAGAAAGAGGTGAATTCATCAAGTTGTCATCAAGAAGTAAGATTAGGGGCGAGGAATGCCATGCAGAACAGAAGGCCCACTTGGGGTCAGCGGCCAGGTCGCAGCCGGTCAATATGTTTGTATATTTTTCTCAAAATATACAGCTGTGGCAAAGTCAGCGAGTTGGATTGAGCTGCTGAGGGAATTTTGCAAGGTGTCTAATTTATTTGTTTCCATTGTTGGGTTCCATTTCTCCTTCACCAGCTTTCCCTGCCATGTGACATAGGGTCAACTGTAAGCACAATGACAGATGGGGTCATTATTTATTTTGATCACTGGTGAATTCTAAATAATGAATTCTAAATAAACTGTGTTTGGCACCAAGTAAATGATCAATATTTGTTTGTAATAGAAGAAGTAAATGAACCAATCAACACTGACTAAAATGAATTCAGGCCCTACCGAGGTCACCAGTTGTCCCCCACGAGTGGCTCTCCAGCACGGCCATGGCCCCAGAAGCATAAGGACTTAATGCAGAACCCAGCAGCTTGGAGCAGAAAAGTGAATGGACTATGCGTTAATCCAGGCCATCATGTCTGCCTGGAGGGGAAAGGGTGTTGCCCCATTCGCCCTCTCCTCTCTGGAAAGAAAATGGCGACCACATGGGTGCCTTGGGGAGAGCAGGTGTGAGCCGGGGGTGTGGGGACGACTAAAACCTCATGGGAAGGGGGGCGTTCCAATCCGCCCTTCACGCTCTACCGAGGCCGCCAGTTGCCCCCCACGAGCGGCTCTCCAGCACGGCCACGACTCCAGAGCACAGAAACCAATCTCTTAATTATCTGACTCTCAGTAGAAATACTTCCAGGGTTAATTAGCAAAATAGCGGAAATCCAAAACCAACATTTAATTCTTGAACCCAGCTGTAGAAAGCGAATCACTTCACAATGCTTTCTCAGCATGTCTGATCTGGGGGGAGAGGGTAAACTCTAAATAATAGTGGTGCATCTTTTATTGAAACAATGAATCTAAGCAAAGCAGATAGAGTGTCAACTAGAATTCATCTGCCTCGCAGGCATTGGGAGGGGTGGGGGTGGGGTTTTATTGGGGTTCTTTGTGGTAAAAAATAAGTATTGGTAAAGGGAAAGGTGTTTGATATTTGCATGACTGAGACCTAAACCTGAAAACTTTGTAAATTTTCCCACAGTGATTCAATAAATAAATAAATTATAAAAAAAAAGATGAATTCAGAAGACAAGACAATTACAGGGAGTTTGTCAGTTCTATAATGACAAACCACAAAACTGAACTAAGTTAGGAGGGGAAAGAAACCCCAAGGATAGGATTTTTTTCTTATTTATTACTGTAGCCCAAGAATCAAAACAATGCTTAACTAGTAATAGATACTCAGTAAATAGACATCGAATGAAAGAGAGAAACACTGACAACACAGTAAAATGAAAAGATAAAAGTTTTGTGATGGTTTGCTTTTCATTATTCAAATTGTCTGTTATAGCCCAGGTTAACACTTTCCTAGCAATGACAAGTGCTAAAAATAAAATAGATTTTATTGTTGAAAGAACATGGGTGATACCTTAGTTCCCACAATATATTAATCTGTTATAGATTATAGCTCTGATAATTCAGTTGACTATCAGTTCTTACAGCCTCTAGGAAATCATTCAGACTACAGATTCTCAATCTTCAAGTGCCTAGTAATTACTAAGTTAAATATTAATTCTGATAAGGAAGGTCTGAGATTTTGTCTTTTTAAGAAATTCACAGATCGTGATAACATTGCTGGTGTGAGGTATACATCTTCAACAGTAAGGATTTACAAATGCTTGAATACTTAACAATTGAGAGAAGGGGCTTATTCAAAAGGTAATAAAAATCATCAAAATCTACTTACTGTTCCAATACCACCAGCAAATATATCCGGATGAAATCCCTAACCTGTCCTTCTTTAGAACAACTCCACTCCTCAAAGCAGACCCTCTGCTAGTGATTTGGATGACAGACATTGTGTCTTGTTCAGGAACCCTATTCTCTCAGTTCTCCAACTCTTTTATACTCTTCCTTCCATATCTACCAGTCAATCTCCACCACCAACAAATGGCACACAAAACCTATTTTCATAGCACTGTAGCACTGTCCTCCCATTGTTAATCGATTTGCTCGAGTGGGCCCAGTAACGTCTCCATTGTGAGACTTGTTGTTACTGTGTTTGGCATATTAAATACATCACAGGTAGCTGGCCAGGCTTTGCCGTGCAGGCTAGAGACTCTTGGTAGCTTGCCAGAGAGGGGCAGAGGAATCGAAC